ATCTACTCGGAATAATTCTGAAAGCCCTGGATTTACTAACTTTTCTCTAGAAAGGTATTTTCGAGGTAGCAGGGCTTTCAGAACTATTCTGAGTAGATGGGTGTGTTGATAAAAAATAAAAATAGGTGGTGTGAGGAGGGGGCAGTCCAGTCTTAAAGTCATCCAAATTAACTACTGTAGTGTATCAAGCCTGAAAATAAGCGGTCGGTCACAGAAATTGTCCGGTACGAAAAGGTAATTATCCAGCACAACTGCTTTTTTGCCGTACAGTTTGTCCGGCAGATACAACTATTGGTGAAATTGTCTACAACTGGCATTAAAAATTTCATTATATTTCAAAATATTTGCATTCCGCATCTAAAAGTTATCTGTATGTCCAAATTTCATCGCGTATGAATATTAAGACAATATGCCTGTGAAAATGCTGTGAAATTTACGATTGTTCGATTCCGTATGATATAATTGACTAGTGGCTTATAAATTGTTGTTACTAAGCTTTTCATCGGTTGGCTTCTTTTATTTCGAGGACCATGAAACACTATATTTGCTCTATTGCGTTAATCACTTTGTCAGGCACAAAATGTCCAGTGTCAGGCACCAATCAGTTGGTACTCGGAAAAAGTAACTTAGAGAGTAAGCTTAGAGAGGAGGGAGAGCAGAATTGATATTTCCAGTACGAAAGACTGTTCAAAGTAATTAGAGAATTGCCGGGTTTTGCTTGTGAATAGCAAAAGATCACAGTAAAAATAACACTAATAACAACTACATTATGAATGGCTCATTACAGTTGATTGGTACATCTACAGGTGTATGTATCACATAATATCACAGTACCACAGAATACCAGTTTTTTTATTTCTCTCATAAAATTTGAAGGAAACATGCTATATACTTTATTTTTGTGAATATATATTAGTTCTAGTCTCAATGGTCATATAAAAACGAAAAATGGATATTTTCATAAAATTCTTAAAAATAATCAGGATAAACAACAAATAAAATTCCTTATTTTGGTTTTTTTTTCTGCTTAATGCCCGTTAAATCAGAAAGTTTGAAAGTAAGTTTGCAAACCAACATGATTTACAATCATCAACTGTGTTTCTTTGCGATACAACATTTTTACTATTCAGGAATCTCACTGAGTAATCAAATTTACCATAAAAAACTCAATTTTTCAAAATTATTGGTAAACCTAATATACTGTTAGATTAGATTAGAGACTTTATTTCAAGAGGGTAACACTTGACATTAATAAAAATAGGTACGCGACCGCGTACATGTATCTGCGCATTAAAGGTCCAGACACGCCGGACGCGATTCGACAACGCGACGCGATTTTTCGACTTTCACTGACCGATAACTTTGATCCAAGTTTAAATTTTCCAAATATTTAGAAGCGCTATAACATTTTAAGTTACTTGGTCTACATATGTTTCAAACTGATTTGCTCTCATTGGCTGTTTTTCAAAAACTGAAAAATCGCGTCGCGTTGTCGAATCGCGTCCGGTGTGTCTGGACCTTAAGGCCTGATTCCACGACGGCGAAATTCGTCGCGAGAACTTGTGTCTGCGAAATACGGTGGTTGCACATGAGCGATTATATTGAATTGTCCCACTTTGTCCCCTTTCGCAGTAAGTAGAAATGTTTCGCATTTCGCCGAGAAAAAACGCTCGTGGAATCAGGCCTTTACTGCATTGATGTTGCATTCTCGGAATCACATTTTTACAGCAATTGTGCGAAATTGTGCTAGTTGAAATTATATGCCTGCTTCAGATATAATATTTACATTTAACCAGTGACTTCTAAATTAAGAGGACGAGAACCATTTATATCCCGAATCACGGCAACTGATTACAATCATACAAAAATGTTTCTTTTTATCTGGAGCTAAATATCTGCTATTCATACAGTTCATTACTTTTAAGAACAATTTAAAGAAAATAATTAATTAAGGCTGTAAAATGTGTGGATTCAAAGACGTGGGATTAGACGTCTGTACATGGAGTCATGAGCTAATAATAGTTTCTGACATTTAAAACAACAGGGCTACGTTTATACTATACTTTGTTTTTATAGTTTAGCTAAGTTTCAGAGGCCTCCATTAAATAACAGTCAAGATATACACGCAAATATAATTTGCTTGTCTATATTTAAAATTTGTAATTGTTTCGTGAAGATTCAACCGTAAAACAATTGCCGGAAGTGCAAGCCCTGATTATAAAAACTCAGGGAAAACCCGTGCGGTATGAAATGCGTGGCGTAAACATGTCAATCAAATATCATTCTATAAATATGACGTTTTATATTTGCACAGTACATCGTGTACGTTTTTGTTGTAGAACTTGTGTTGTTCAAATCGAATATGAAGTAAAATCAGGAGCATACTGTCACAGGCTAATTTTGTATTTTAATACCCTCTGGAAATACAAAGGCTTTGGTACCCCTATCTATCACAAAATGTAACAAATCCAAAACAAAGTATGAGGACTAATATTTTTCCTATCATTTGACAGACTAAAAGTATTATTCAAGAAATATGTCCATTTTAATCATAACGTGATACAAAAATACTAAATAACATGCAAAATTCAGTGCCAAAGAGGGATTTATTTGGCGGTAGTTAAATTAAATATGTAAACATAATATGTTCTCAAACTGGCACAGTTTAATACAAATTGGCAATTAAAGCTCGCAATGCTATATATTTGGTTTGATACGAAGATAAAATAGTAAATACTCATAATAATTACAATATGTCCATGACCTAATTACTCAAAAATTTAGATTATTAAATCACATAATGGAACAACTTGCAATTTGCTACGCTCACTCGTTAGCAATATTCTCTTCAACACTCGAAATATATTACATATTTCCGCACATTCGCACAACCATGTATAAATATTCTCTATACATTCCAGTTTACCTTTAATTTGTCAAGTGGTAGGCAAGATATTAGTCCTTTTGATTTGTTATTCTCTTGACCCGACACGGGAGTGATGGGCACTTGAAAAAATGACAGTTGCATACTTGCGTGTAATTTGTTCGGAACAATTTGCAATCAACATTGCAAGATTGATTGCAATGTTGCAATACTCATGGGAACAGAACATCCGGTTTGACTGTAAGAGTTATATCAGTGCAAGACTGCTATAGAAGAAGATTTTATCAAAATAAAGTCAGGATGAAGTCTATTAATACCACGATTACTAATACTACTCTTGAAAGCTTTTCGAAAGACGCCATCTTGTTTTAAAGCTGTTCTAGCCTGCGAACAGGTCTTCAAAACAAGGCTGACGGACTTAACAACTTAACTTAACTTACCTAACTTTACTTTACTTTACTTTACTTTACTTTACTGACTGACGCGATAGCAATATATCTGCGCTACGCGCAGATACAAAAATAATAAACCTGTGGCCCTCCATATTCCTAATTACAAAAATATACACCCAATGAACTATACTGAATAGACAATGCTAAATCTATTTACATTTAGTAGGTAATTATACTTATGCTATATTTACATTATACTAAGAATATTTAAGATAAAATAAGTCAAAGAGCTAGAAAAGATTAAAAAGTAAGCGTCTCTCCCTGCTTTGTTAAAAAGTATTTAAGAAAGTTTCTTTTAAAAATACTTGGACTATGACTTTTCTTTAAGTCACTGGTAATACTGTTCCAAGCCTTGATAGTCTTAACAGTAAACGTACGCCCCCCCTCAGTCTCTCTTTTGTATCTTGGGCAATTTAAATTTAGTTTCGAGTACCTAGTGTTCCTATTATGAATATCACAATTTCTTATAAGTAGATCGTTAATATAAGTCGGTGGTACAGCGGTTACAAGGTACAGCGGTTTATGTGGGCCTCGATGTAAAATGGCAGCCAACCGAGCATGTTAAACAGATTCACAGAACAGGCTCTACGATCAGCATCCAATATTACTCTTGCAGCTCGTTTTTGCAATTTGAGCACTCTTTGTAGGTCATCTTGTTTGCAGGAGCACCATACAGTACTACCATAGAGTAAAACAGGTTTGATTATTGCAGAGTAATATATCTCACGTTGTTTTTGTTTCAAATATGGACATATATGGCGAAGAAGACCAACACGTTTCGATAACTTCTTGCATAGCTCATCGATTTTGGTGGTAAATGACAGGTCTTGATCCAAGCTAACACCGAGTAGTTTGTAACTGAGTACTTGTTCAATTACAGTGTCACTTAGTTTAGCATCTATAGAGATGGAAAAGGTGCTGGTGTTATTTCGAATGCGTTTACCAGCGATTAACATTGACTTTGTTATTGACGTGTTTATAACCATGCCATTTTCATTTCACCATCTCTCTAAGCAGATCAAATCTTGGTTTATCATTCGAGTTAAAACAGGCAATTTGTCGATACTTGCACTTCTTGCTAAAGTTGTGTCATCGGCATAAATTTCTACATTTGAGTCAGGCATATGAAGAGGCATATCGTTTATAAATGTAATGAACAACAACGGTCCGAGGATCGATCCTTGCGGTGGATACACATTCAGGTGGATACACATTCAGGTGGATACACATTCATTTAATTTAACAAACTGTTTTCTGTCAGATAGATACGATGTAAACCAGGCAATTGATGATCCGTCTACCCCATAAATTGCAAGCTTTTTCAGCAGAGTTTTGTGATTTATAAGTTAGGTCGAATGCCTTTTTAAAGTCAATAAATGTCAAACATGTAACCTTATCGTCATCCATGTTAAAAAGGAGTTCATCGACAAGGTTTATTAATACTGTCTCTGTCGAGTGGTTAGCACAAAAAACCTGACTGGAATTTATACAGAAGGTTATGATCTTGGAGGTACTTGTAGAATGATGGTACATACCACCAGTATTCTGTAGTGATTTTAGTATTTACCTTCCATTAAATTAAGTTAGCAATATCTGTACAGTGTTATCACACAACATGACACACCAAATCCTCGTACAATTTGATAAACCATTCCTCACTTATTGCCGCACTGGTATTCTGTGGTCTGTGGTACATACACCTATAGCATGACATGTGTGGATGGTCAAAAATGCAATTAATCCAGATACGTGTGGACACATAAAGTTTTGAATCTGCAACAAAATGTTTGCGGATACAAACGAATCTGGAAATGTTTTTTTATTCGTCTAGCACTTTTGGCATTGATTTATAACACAATTTAACTTCTAAGAATATATTCGGCTATTGGAATGCAGTACCCTAGTATTAGGACCTGTTATATGGAAGCCGGGCTGTCCCGCTTAGCGAGACAGCCCAGTAAGCAGGATGAATTTCTCTTGTGTTTATATGAGAAAATTTTATCCTGCTGCTGGGACAATTTTGCTGTTTTGATATTGTTTTGACAGTAATTTAAAAATAGTTTGCAGCGGTATCTTCAGTCCTTGAAACTCCAGAAATTTCAGGTCGGCAAGAAATTGCCGACCTAAAGCGATAATTCTCAATCTGGGTCGGCAAATATTTTCAAAACAAATAGACAATATCCAAATGAAAATTCACTTAATAGACAATATCCAAATGAAAATTTGCTTGCTGCAAATACGCGTATTTATAATAAGCAGCAATTAATTGCAATCAATATATGAACAATGTATGGACAACTAACAAAATGTATGAATTCCAATCAAACAGTGCATGTTGTGACAAAATGTTGTGACAAACCGTACACTACTTTATTACAATATAGTTTCGCTTAAATCTTGAAGCTCGATGATTTTAACACGATGTTTACTTTTCAAAGTTTCAAGTATCACCTTTCAACAATGAAACTGCAATGTTTGTAAATTTGATACTCGCAAAGCGTATTTGACTAGGCAAGCTAATGATCAAAACCTGACAGGGCTCGAAATAACGTTCTCAACGTTCCCGATCATGGTGATCGGCAATCACGCCTTTTTTCCGATCAAATAAAAATTTGGCCGATCAGGAGCATAGTTTGTCTAAGACTTTAGAGTTTCCTTGAAAAAAATTCTAAATATGATAATAATTAACTTTATTTCAAATTCAAGTTTAAATCTGCAACATTTTTGGACTTATTATATATAATTCTAATAGTCCATGTAACTACATTTAATACACTTTTAATAAACTTTAGTTAATTAAAGCACTTTTCAAGTTTTAATTATAGTTATTGCATTTTTTCACACAAAACTCAAAAGCAAGGAACATAGCAGCATTATCAATTAAGAACTAAAACTTATTATTCAATATTATTAAAAGAGAAAATGTTACTAAAAAGAAAAAATCCTATTCAAAAAATCCTATCAAACTGAAATTATTATAACAAAAACGTTCATCGTCAGCAGTCCGGATTGCAGACAGTTGAAGAGACGACAGTATTTCATGCAAATTTGTTTTTATGGTAAATTAGGCTACTTTAGAGCGAAAATAGTCTTGCGGCCTTTCCTGTTGTATGACTCGTATCAACTAAACAAGGGCTTTTCGCGTGTTTTTGAATGTGTTTTATGTTACTTTTATTTGTCTTTTACCGTGTGACAATGAATCTATTTCTGCCGATCAAAATGAACGGCAACCTTGCTTCTTCGCCGATCAAAAACAATTTCCTGCCGATCATTGATCGTTGATCGGCCGTTATTTCGAGCCCTGACCTGATAAAACATCATCGTTGAAAATGCGTATGTGAAAGATGCGTTCATGGAAGAAACTGCTGAGACGTATTTGAAAGTAGGTCGGCAAAATTTTGCCGACCTAAATCTACACATATCTACATACGACTTTGAAGGTCGGCATTTAGGTCGGCATTGCCGAATGCCGACCTGAGTTTCAAGGACTGTATCTTTGAACTTTCATCCAGGCAAACAGGCTAGCCCACTCGTGAGTGTTTATATGGACAAATTTCCATCCTGGTAAGTGAGATCTCTCCTCTGTCAAGCAAGATCTCAACAACCCGCAACCAGGCCAGCCCACTTGTCCATATAAACACACAATAATTTTTACTATAAAAATAACTACACGGCGAGATCTCACTTACCAGGCTGTCTCACTTAGCGGGCCAGTCCGGCTTCTATATAAACAGGCCCTTAGGGGCTGTTTACATGAGCCCGGCTAGCTGGGATGAGTAGTTTGCCGGGCTGACATGTACACTCACAAAAATTGGCGGGAAAAACTTGTTTACGAGTTAACAGTGTAACGTCTGTCATGGAAGTCGAATTTGTGCTTTATTGGCAAATTTAATCGATTAAAACTACTTTGTCGGCTAGATTAATTGAAGAGAAATTTATCAAGAAAAATATCAGTTTCTGTCTTTTATTTTTGTTTTAAATGTATTTTTGTTTTAAATGTTATTTTTGTTTTAAAAGTTTTTGTTCTAGCCTGGTTGCCCGGGCTGGATACTTTACATGGAGAAATTTCAGCCCGGCTGACCCAGACTGGAAAGTTTGTATTGCGCAACCTAGATCTAGGTTGCGCAATTTCGGACCAAAACGCGTTGAAACGCGCAAATTTTAAGAATTTAGCTATCCGCCGCGCATGTAATAATATTGTGCAATGACCGCCGCGCAAACGCGCGGAAAAGCGAGAAAGAAAGCACAAGAAGTAAGAAAACGCGAGAAGCAAGAATGCGCGAGAACACGCGTTGGAGCGCACGTGCATCGCGTGACGTTTGCAAGATCGAGTTTCAAATGCAAATTTCAATGCGCTGGCAGCGGTAGCACCTGTGGCGCAACGCATTAAGTTACAGCTTACTTCCGATTTGGTGGCTTAACCAATACGAATATGGCAAATTGTTATTTTTGCGGTATCGCGTTCTTTTGCTCGGAGTTTTCAAGATCTTTCAAGGCGAACAACGTCGGTATTCGAAGTTACACGCTCATATTGTCTATTGAGTACTTTTCCTGTGGAATTCTGTGGAACGTCTTGTCATTCTCGAGAGTTGATTTTAAGAGGTGAGTGTGTGTAGTGTTCCTAGTTGAAGTATCTGTATTTCTGTTGCGCTTATGGAAATTTATATCGCGTAATCGCTTCTCAACAGAGTTACAAACCGGGCCTTTGGCCGCGTTCGGTTTGTCGAAATTATTAGCTTTATGAAGTCTTTTAATAACGTTTTAGTTCGATACTATAAAATGTTTATTGATTGAAACATGCGTTTTAGTTTCACACCAATTCACTCACGTCTCATGGTAAATATAAAGATGGCAGAGATCCAGACAGTTAAACGAGGTAAGGCTGGTAATAAGGTGATTGACGTAAATAGCGTAAACTGCGTAATAGCTTAATAAGCGACCCACATATGTACTATTTAAAGCACGCGTAGGAGTGTTTTATCATAAAACACGACGCATAGCGGAGTGTTTTATATGTGATAAAACTTTTATATGTAATAAAACACGACTACAAGTGCTTTAAATGGCTTAAACTACTCATCTTATTATCTTATACGAGTTCATTGGCGATTTGGCCAAGTAATTTTTAAAATAAACGTTGTCTAAATCGAGAAAATCAAAGCTAAAGTCTATGTAAATTAACATGATTTTTTATCACATAAAAAACCACGACACGCTTATGATTTTTTATTGTGTATTGCTCCTGAATTATTAATGACTTTTTATTTATAAATATATTTATAATTTATTTTTGTTATAATATTAGTTTGTGCTTCATGTGAGAAGGAATGTGGAAGTCATTTTTGCAAAGTATGCAAAAAGGCCTGTCATGCCATTCCACCTTGCTCAACATCTACTGCTGAGGATGAAGAAGGGTTTGGTGCACAGGTGCTATGTAGTGGTTGTGCAAAGACTAAGGCGGTGGCTCAACCAAAGCAGTTATAAACCTTCCTTAACCACAAGTCCACCACCTGGTTGCTGAATATAGACATTTAATAATGGAGACCTTATAAACCTTCCTTAACTACCAGTCCACCACCTTGGCTGCTGAACCATGTTTTGAGGAAAGCTTCCTGCTGAGAAAATGGTTTTTCTGCTGATTTATCATCAACGAAGCGAATTTATTTGGTGTCAACCTTTCATGTATTTTTGGTAAGATGTTATGAATGATGAACGTAAGTCACCAATGCTAATATTACTGTACTTATATTATGGTATGTGTAGTGGTACTGCTAAAATGCTTGATGCCTTGATCAAAAGGTGACTTGAAACTGTACATTTAAGTGGGTAGTTAATGAAGTAGGTGTTTATTAATGTTGGTTTTCTTACAGGCTTACTATTAACTGAAGTAATTATTTTGTTAGACTGTTAGTATAACTGTTTGGTAGTGTTTGGTATATGCCTAAAGACAAAAAGTTGAAGAATACGAAACCATTAATTTCAGTGTATAACCACTGTCGCGGCGCCAATGAGAAAGGTCAAAAAAGGTAAAAATGATATAGATTGCGCAGTTTGCAAACTTTCCAGTCTGGCGGCTGACCGGGCATCCCATTTGAGTCAAGTGGGATCCCAGCTAAACGGGCTGGCTTGGTTGTCAGGTAAAGTAAAATTTTTTGTGTTGGAAATTACTATGAAGCCAGGCACCCCGTTTAATCGGGCCAGCCCAGCAAACTGGGCTCATGTAAACAGCCCTTTAGAATCAATCATAATTTTAATATCAGTAGAGAAGTCACCATTTTTATACATGTATATGCACATGGATTTTTAAAATTGAACATAAGGAACAAATACTTACTTGTACTTGAACCAAATGTAGAAGATCCAAACGGTGTAGATGAACCAAACATATTTATATATAGTAAATACTAAATCATCAACATCCCTTTATTCAATCGACAAGTCGACAACTGAGTCGGCCGAGTGCAGACATGCATGATGACGCAGTACAATTTAAAACAAAATTCAAAAACGGACCATCAACAGCTTGTACTAACAACTTAGTGAGCAGAAAGGCTATTGTAAATCTGAACCATCAATTGTATTTACAACAAAATTATAAAATAAACTTTTATGACGAAGTGAAAATAAAATGCCCCAACCGGTTCGCGCTGGAAGATTCTGGGAAGAGCCGCTTCCTACGCCCGCACTACAACTGGCGGCATACACGGTATAGACTTCATGTAGCCCTCATTATAGTATATCAGAATACAATGAGATTAATAGGGTACATTAGGCTGTACTAGGGTACATTAAACTACCTTAGGGTAGCTTGGCCCACCTTACGGTACCTTGGCCTACCCTAGGGTACCTTGGCCTACCTTAGGGTACCTTGGCCTACCTTAGGGTACCTTGGCCTACCTTAGGGTACCTTGACCTACCTTAGAGTACCCTAGGGGCCTAGGGTACCTTGGAGTACCTTAGACACCTTAGGGTACCTTGGCCTACCTTAGCCTACCTAAGGGTACCTTGGCCTACCTTAGGGTATCTTGGAGTACCTCAGGGTACCCTGATCTACCTTAGGGTACCTTGGCCTTGGCCTACCTTAGCCTACTTTAGGGTACCTTAGCCTATCTTAGGCTACCTCAGAGTACCTTACTCTACCTTAGCCTACCTTAGGGTACCTTGGCCTACCTTGGGATACCTTGGCCTACCTTGGAATACCTTGGCCTACCTTATGGTACCTTGGCCTACCCTAGGTACCTTAGCCTATCTTAGGGTACCTCAGAGTGCCCTAATCTACCTTAGGGTACCTTATTTAACCTACCTTAGACTACCTTAGCCCACCTTAGGGTACCTTGGCCTATACCTTAGGGTACCGTGGAGTACCTTAGCCTACCTTAGGGTACCTTGGCCTACCTTAGGGCACATTAGCCTACCTTAGGGTGCCTTAGCCTACCTTAGGGTACCTTAGCCTACCTTGCAGTATACGTACCTTATAATACCTTAGCCTACCTTAGTGTACCTTAGAATGCTTTAGAGTTTAGAGTGCCTTAGCCTATGTTATAGTACTTTAGCACACCTTAATTAGCCTACCTTAGCCCACCGTAGAGTTACAGTATCTATAGGATGTTAGGGTTTGTAATCCAAGTAAGAATATATGCATTTTAAGACCTAACCAGGAACGACTGCGAAAAATGCAGCACAAGGTCCTCTGGTAGGAATTGAAGTTATTGAACCTACGGCCCTGCGATTCCGGAGCAGCGCTCTTATAACACCAGATATGCCTCCAAGCGGAACCTATACAGACCAGCTTCTAGAATAACCTGAGTATCAGGCCCTCGGTATTGAACCTGATACTCAGGTTACTTCTAGAACAAATTATGGGCTAACCAGATTCAAAACAAAAGCTTCCAAAATATTGGAAAAAGCTTCCATTTTGCAGTTTCAAAAAACAGTATAAAATGTTTCTTCTTAATACTTAATAGTCAAGTAGAATTACATGACAGATTTGACCACAAGCGGCCCAATCTTACCCTGTGTTATTAGTTTATTACCTCCGCCAGGAGGTTATGTAATCATCTGGGTTTGTATGTGTGTGTGTGTGTGTATGTGTGTGTGTGTATGTGTGTGTGTGTGTGTGTGTGTGTGTGTGTGTGTTTGTCTGTGAGCACGATAACTCAAGAAATACCAAACATATCCGTACGAAATTTTTTGAATGCATTTCCCATCGGCTAAGGAAGAACTGATTAAAATTTGATATTTGTGGTGTTACTCTGAGTGTATATCCACACCGGGCGAGCTTGAAAAATATGCCCGGCCACGGTGGGATTCGAACCTACGACCTTTGGAATACCAGCCCAATGCTCTTCCAACTGAGCTACGCGGTCAGGACGGTTCGAGTAAGTGATATTTCGGAACAGAATCTAGTTCCTTCGATACCAATGTATTCTAGTAATATGAATTTTTTCTGTGTTGGTGTAGTGTACTCAGGTGAATATGATATTTCATACACCAACACAGAAAAAATTCATATTACTAGAATACATTGGTATCGAAGGAACTAGATTCTGTTCCGAAATATCACTTACTCGAACCGTCCTGACCGCGTAGCTCAGTTGGAAGAGCATTGGGCTAGTATTCCAAAGGACGTAGGTTCGAATCCCACCGTGGCCGGGCATATTTTTTTTCAAGCTCGCCCGGTGTGGATATACACTCAGACTAACACCACAAATATCATATTCACCTGAGTACACTACACCAACACAGAAAAAATTGATTAAAATTTGGTTGAATTTGGTTAAAAATTGAACGAGAAATGAACAAAATTTTGTCTTGCTTTTCCCGGTCAATTAACAAAAAATATTACTGAATGCGTAATTAGGACGTGTATAATTTATGCACTCAGTACTAAGACAATGAGATGATAAACCTCACTAAACTTCGGCCTTCATTATCTATTGCCTTAGTTGCATTTCACGCGACCGAAATTCAATGTCTAAAACAAGGCTTACGGAGTTACGCATTATTACGTTCAGTAAAGTGCCAGTCCATTCAAATTCTAACAACATTATAGATTACTTCAATACAGGGTGTATAAAAAGAACGCAACCTCGGAATTTCCCAAGAAATGGACATTGTTTTAAAGACAAAAGATTTTAGCTGCCTGGGAATTTAAAATAGCACAACTGTGAAAATTACTGCACGCGCGAGTGCATAAAGCAAAATTTATGCATTTATTTAATGACACTTAATAAGTTTTTATTTTACAAGTACTGTACAGTACAACAACAGTAATATGTTCTATTAGCAATTCGATTTCAATTCGCGGGGGCCTGAAATCTTTTATGCTTAAGAATTATAAAGTGGATTTCTTAGGAAATTCCAAGGTTGCGTTTTACTTCCGAGTAACGGGCGGAGGTATGCAGTCTCTGAGTGCCCTCTAGTTACGTTATATCTTTATATAAGTAGTATATTGAAAATCATTAGAAAATCCTGTGTTATTAATTTATTACGTTATATCTTTATATAATAGTATAATGAAAAGCATTTACATGTGTTTCCTGAAAGATTTTAACGAGAACCGGCCAAGATTGGCGTTGAAAAGAGGTTAACGGCCATAGTTGGGGTTGACATGAGGATGGCCGTTAACCTCTTTTCAACGCCAATCTTGGCCGGTTCGCTCGTTAAAATCTTTCAGGAAACACATGTAAGTGCTTTTTATTATACTATTATATAAAGAGATAACGTAATAAATTAATAACACAGGATTTTCTAATGATTTTCAATATACTACTTATATAAAGATATAACGTAATAAATTAATAACACAGGATTTTCTAATGATTTTCAATATACTATTTATATAAAGATATAACGTAATAAATTAATAACACAGGGTAAGATTGGGCCGCCTGTGGAAACCCTAACACTAAGGGACCGGTCATAAAGTATGTGTACTGGGAGGGTGGAGGGTAAGTTGGGGATGAAACATGATCAAATTACGACATTTGTGGGGCACGAAACAAAAAATGAGTGGAATACTATGTCTATGATTAATAAAACTACAGACTTCTATAATATAATATACTTTTAAAAAAATCGAGTGTATGTTCCTAAATGTTGCTAGTCGTAAATTGCAATGTAGGTAGCACAATAGTATTTATATGAAAGTATCTCGATCGGAACCTATTAGTTTGACATGTCTGCAACCTGAACAGTCTTTGATTACGTTATTTTACCGTCGGGTGGCTCCCCTGCTCGTTTACGTTTAGAATGATTTAAATATTGAGAAAGATATGAAATACGTCACGACGTTCTGTTGATATAACCAAAGTCTACAAATATGTGAGATCATGCAGGCTCTATTTTAGAAATATAGCCTGACACAAACTTTAATCCGATCGCTTTCCACCTAACAGCAAAGTTTATATATAAACGGCCCCGTTTACACTACGCTCAATTTTTGGTACGGCACGGATAAAATTGGTACCCGTACCACTTTTTTGGTTCTTGGACTACCTAAATAGGTAGTGAAATTTGCAACTAACTGGAGAGCAAATAATTTCGTGAGTATTTTATTTGTTTCACAATTTTTCAATTAATTAATGAATTGGTACCGTGTTTTGAGCATTTTCGTATAAAAATTGGTATTAAGATTTTGAGTAATGTTTTTCCTTTTTTCTAGATCTGACCCAGATTTTCACCAAGGGCATATAAATAGTATTATTATATAAAGTATAGTGCTTTATAGAGATGGCAAGCACTGATAAAAGTGATAATCTCACATGGGAGACTGTCCTTTATATAATAAACAGAAAAATCCATGGGTACTTGGAAATACCAGATTTATTTCTTGTGTTGAACGTGATATCTCACTCGTTCGCTGCGCAGCGCTCACGTGAGATATCATGTTAAACATTCTCTATTCATATTAACTACGCTAAATATTTCAATACAGACAATGGATTGCAATAATTTGCAAAACAGTTATGTTCTTAGAATTTTATGTTTTTGGGGACAGGGTGATTGGTTGGGTGCGCGGAGGGGGGGGGGGGTACGAAACATTCATCTCCTTTGATGGGGGTATTAAATATTTTCCGACGCTTTCCGGGGGGTACCAAATTTTATGGTAGAATTTTGGAATACCCTACACCCCCCCCCCCCAGTACACATACTTTATGACTGGTCCCTAAACACTATAGAGATCAACTTTTTTTTCTATTTAGTTTTAAATACTCAAATATAATTTCATAATGGTAGTGGTCATAATGGTTCTGCTCCTTTGACCACTATACGCACTCTTCATGTGTAAATACATATTATGAAATATTAATGTAAATATATATATAGTATACTAGTAATACATAATCTTGTAAGAAAGAAATAAGGGCAAATAAAACTGATTCTGATTCTAAATGATTCTGATTCTAACCAACTGAGCTACAGAGGCCAGCTGTTGAGCTGTAACCGTAAGTTCATGTATATATAGGTAATCGGGTCTCAACCCAACTGGTCTATTTTTACTTTATGTAAGATTATGCGGAGGGCGGAGGAGAGTTTACAACCTCGTATCCAGGGTCTTTCCTCTTGGCGAGGGGAGAAAAGACCCTAGTAGACGCTGGTCACGTGATCTGCTAAAATCTAGCAGATTGTTAAGCAATCCAAGAAGAGGTCAATAAATATTTGATATTTGGATCATTTTTATAGATTAATTTATAATTTACTTTTGTAGGATTTTCGTAAAAGAATCCAAGATAGTTGATTAGAAATCTGCTAGATTTTAGCAGATCACGTGACCAGCGTCTACCAGGGTCTTTTCTCCACAAGAGGAAGACCCTGGGTACGAGGTTGGAGAGTTTAAACATTTTCATACTGTCAAAAATATTTAAAGACGGTAACCCTTGGTATGGTTCCGAAATTTGCCTTGGCGACACCGTGATATAATTTTCGATTCACTACTAAGAAAAACTTTCTGAGATCCTCACAAGTTGGAGTCGAAATCCTATAAGCCTTGTCGATTAAGCTAGAAAAACAGGCCAAGATAATATTCTTCATAGATAAGGTTTGTACTTGTAATACTTAACCAGAACTTTATCATTAGACGACTTAGACATTACCCCCAAAATACTAGCTGTTTATGGCTGCATACATTCATGTCTTCTATAACAAGATTTCACCTTATTCATAAATATCTAAGTCCAACATTCGCCTGTCAAAATTCCACCGACCCATCCAGGAGCAAGAGTTGTCATAAAAAACTCCACAACGGGATTCAACTTTCCTTCACCAGCAATATACGTGCAGCTTGGAACCATTATATTTTGCAGCCATGTAAAGAATTCTTGTTCTTCGTCTGTGTTCTTCTCAATGCTATCTGTCGTGCCGAAAACTCCATTCAAGCACGGTTCATCGTCAATTTCTTCATCGTGTTCGGAACCGACATGAAAATACAATTTTTCTGTTCTAACACAAGTATCCGAAATACAACATTCAAGTATTTCTGGGTGAAAGTGAAATATGTCTCCAAGGACTGTTGCTTCTGACGGTAGTACCTCGCCGTCCCAAGGTATTAGTATCATGGATAGTTCGTTACAGCCTTCATTGGGACTGCATTCGTTACCTATAAACATAACAACACAAAAATATTTTTCAGAAAGTTATTTTGAGTCCCATCATGTATTTTTAAGTATTGGTATTTTCACTAATTTCACACACTTGCATTTCCACAGGACCCACACAGAAGGAATCCTCATTGCCTTCACCTGGCTCAGAAAAACATACCGCGCATTCAGGACGACCGCATTTTGGATTATTTGGATATGTGTAAGCAAAACGGAAATGTGGATGCGTATAGAATTATGAACATGTATTATGACATAAGATTCGAGTGCGAGTAATCATTAACGGTGAATCCACCCTTCCGTTCCCTTCCGAAAAGTATTCTGCCTTGGCTGCACACCTAACCCTGGTTTTCGCGTTTTTCGTGATTGCTAGTAACGTTACTATATAATTACCAGCATCATTCAGTATTTTAATAAAATACAAATGAACAAAAACTCCGAAAAACATTTAGATTAATTTGAATCGACGTTTCGACTAAATTGTAGTCGTTATCAGGTTTAGTGTAAAATTACAGATACAGGTATATACAAAGTAAAGAAGATTCTTTGGAATCTTTAACCACGTGGTTAAGTTCTGGGATTCGTCCGCGTATGGCAAAAGACTCTTTAATTGTATAACAGGTGAGACCAATGGTCTGATCTATCAATTATTTTGCAATTTATTAGATATTAGTGTCTATAGGGTTAAATGAGTCAGTCACCGGACGCGATTCTACAACACGGTCAATGAAAGGAAATTTTAAAAGATATGTAGACCAAATAACTCAGAATGTTATAGCGCTTCTAAATATTTGGAAAACTTAAACCGGGACCAAAGTTATTAGTCAGTGAAAATCGAGCCGCGTACGGTGTGTCTCGGCCCTTAGACGTCAGTTTTACCAATATAGGTGCTTCGGCAACCCAGACATAAAAATTGGCAAACTACAGTAAAGATCGAGCTTTATATTTGTCCGTGTCTTGTCTTTCCAGGACAGGAAACAAACGTAGTTCGCCAGTTTAAAATAAATTTACACGGACTTTTTAGTAAACGGCGAGTTTTGTTGATGAACTTTTTAGTCAGAATGTTGTCAGTGGTTGTGGTTTCCTGGAACAGTTTTTCTCGCAACTTGACGACAAACTTATTAATGACATATTGACTTCACATACTGAAACAAGCAATAACACCGCACATATTGACCATACAGAGAACGCAATCAAGGTTTCAATCACGAAAACGAAGTTGTGTAGCCAAGGATGAATACTTTCCGGATGGAGTGTATGGGTATGGTCGACCGTAACTGCTCATGATAGTTAATAAATTGGTATCTTGTTTGGCAGAAAAAATAATTCCTTGTTTCACAATTCATCGTTAATTGACAAAACTTTCATGGAGAATTGTTGATTAACTAAAAATGTACCAAATGCACTTTAGAAAAAGTAAATTGATGATTTTACTGTTCAAAGATCACTTGCATTAGCACTAAGATGTATTCGAACTGTCAGTGAAACATGCATGAAAAGTAGGCTTTAGCACAAAAGCAATTTAAAAATTTTAAAGAAATACTAGTAACTCACCACAACGAAGCCCAAATGTTTTCACAGCTTTCCTCATGTATGTTAGTATTTCCAAAGATCTGCTAAAACCTTGCAAGTGCTTTGTATCAAACGACATCAGATCGAGGCCGAATGGAATTATTACGCCACATTTCAACATGGACGGAAACGGACGAACAACATAAGCATCGCTTTGATCTTTATAATAACAGAACCTGTCAAGAAAAAAATCAATATAATTTTAGCAGGAGAATGCAAGTAATGCGCTTATGCGCAGGTTAAATGTATAGTTCAAACATTTAAGAATATCTGCATATTATAACTGTAGTTCGCAACAATTTTTAGAAAATTTAAAATACATTAGTAAAGCTTACGCAAACTTACTGTTTAATAATATCAATATTTGCATGATATTCCAGAATATGACAGGCAGTGGCGCCGCCCCAAATTTCGAAACCGTCGACGGTCGAGCACATCATTGATGGTCGAACACATCATTAATCTCGTTCCCAGATTGCTTTTGAGGTGATTAGCGCGTGGAACCATTTGGTGACACCTTATACCAATCGATGCCAGTAAAGATTTTACGCAGTATGATAGTATAAGGTTTTAGATTTTTGAAAAGATAGCCAATTCGGTTATTATTCATTCTACAAAAGAGTTCAGAAATTAGTTATAAACAGATTTTTCACATTAAGTGTGGGCTTAGTTGTGTTTAAAGGCCGATAAAACTGGCTTATATTGTGTAAACGGCTAAACAACTGCTGTAACTTGGTCAAAAAAGCGTTATAATATGTTCCGTGCGTCATTTTTTTATATTCATCAAGTAACCTACCGTATTTTTAACGTACGAAGTCACGAGAACGAAGAAACAAGTTTTAAGCCAAATTAAATATAATGGCACAATCGGAGACGTGCTCGCCAGTAACACGATACGCTAAGATTTGTTACTAAAGG